GGACCTAGTAAGGGACTACCGGCTCGTTTTTCACGAGTGGACAATGGTTGACACAACAATCCCCCTGAGACCCAGTGAAGACTTTCCTGATCCCTTCCCCCCCCCCCTCAAACTGTTTAGTTGGTCTGGACTGGTATGGACGAGACTGAGGACGGCCTACAAAAAGAGTCACAGGTCAGATCAGGACTAATGAGAGGAGGGAGGTACTAAGGTACTACAACAGCCATCCGGCGTCGGCTCCAAGACGAAGAGGTGCCCCCCCTCCCCCCCCCCCTCGGGTAATCAATGCTGTTTTGACAGGAAATGAGAGGCAGTTCCTAGTATCAGTGTTCAGTGATCTATCTGGCGCCCCTCTATCAGGCGAAGAGATACCATAGGGATAGCTTTTAGTCCCATAGGAGCGGCTCACTCCCACAACTGTTTCTCCATGAACTCTGATTTCAACCTGTAAAAGGGACGCTGGACCCGTTTTCCAGCAGGTGCTGCTCCCCACCAATAGATGGAGCCCCCCGACAGTGCTAGCGGTGCCTGCTCCTATCAGCACCCCTAGCATTATCTCGGGCTGTTTTTAAAAAAAAAAAAAAAAAAAAAAAAAAAAAAGGACGTTCACCTCCCGCCTTGTGAAGCCCCTTCAGAGTAGTGCTCTCCTTCCTCCAACTATCCTAGCAAAAGGACTGAGATAAGCAAAATGATTAACCAATGAAAAAATTCCCAGATCCACCCCTGCCCATCCTAAACAGTGTATCGCTCAGCAGAGACCTAGAAAAACAAAAAGTCATTGACGCTAGTTAATGAAGAACTTAAGAGTTAAAACGTGGATGCTCATGGGAATACATGAAAATATTAGGAAGCAGTCAGAATATATGATTGATAGGCAGGATGTTGTATTAGGAATTTAGGATGTTTAAAAATTAGAAGGTTATTAAAGAAGAATATCAGAATTCATGATTAAGAATGTATGAGGAAGTTTGAGGAATTTAATTAGGAATTTAATTAGGAATCTAATTAGGAATTAAATTAGGAATTAAATTAGGAATGAAGTAGGAATTTCAAGATTAGTATAGATATGAGAAAATTGAGAACATAGGAATTAAGAGAGATTTAGAGAAAGTTTTTTAGAGAAAGTTAGAGAAAGTTAGAGAAAGTTAAAGAGAAAGTTAGAAAACATCAGCGAACGAGAAAAAAAATAGGGAGAGAAAGGACGCCACCACGTGCAGCTGGCGCCATACACCTCCGCTCCGTAATGTTCAGCCTCGCACCGCACTCACCCCGGACCTTTGACGATGAAGTCTCCCAGTCGCGTGCACAGCATGAAGATTCCTCTCCAGTGTATGAAGATGCCCACCTTTCTTGCTGCTGCCGATCCCTCCGGTAGAATGAAAACTTGCCGATTTTAATCACTTGATCAGTCTTAAACAGACTCTCCTCCCTCGCCTGGCGTACGAGTGTTCATGCACTTTTTTTCTGACTGTCTCACCCACTGACTTTATCACATACCCAAACGCACGTCTCTCCAGTCGATGGAAGGTCTAATGGGGCTGTGAGAATGCCCCATAGAATCCCTCCGTATGGTGGCTCAACTCTCCCAGTGTATGCCGGAAGAAGAAAGAGTCAGCAACACGTGCCTGACATGGCTGTTGTTGCCAAACGGCGCTTGTGGAGGGTCCACGTGTCAGACCCAGCACACACAGATGGCAGAATGCCACTCACGGTGAGGCACACACCAGCACACACACTTGAAGCTAGTGTGCACGCATGTCTGACTCAACACCCCGTCAATGTCAGAATGCCACGTGGCCTACTCACAGGTAAGCACAAGTGATCTCATGTGCATGCAGGTGCGCGCAAGCGGGCACACACAAGCGAGCACACATGCTTGCTTACGGGTACTACGCCAGAGTGGTTGTGCTAGAACCTTACACTTTCAACCAGCATAGCAGGGTGTGCTAGAACCTTACACTTACACTTACTTCTTTCTGTACTTTCTCCACAGCTTCTTACAGTTAATTAACTACTTACCTCGACCTTTGCGTCTGTTTTTATTTTCTTTACTTTGAGCTCGCGTCAAGATGAATTGGGCTGGCGGCCCCAGAGTTTGTCATCACTGTAGGCAACCGGGTCATTTCATAAGGGATTGTCAGCTGAGGCACATCCCTAATGCTGTTGCTATGATAGGCAACGGTGGAGGTGACTATGGGCGTGTCGTGGCTCAGCAGGAGAACGACGGGTTATTGTCGGCCCCGAACTCAAATGCGAGTACTAATGCGATCGTGTCGTATCAAGCACGAAGAGCGAACAACAACGGGGATGGAAACGACCGGTACGGAGGACAGTACGGCGCCCAAGACGGTGGTCATCAAAATCACGGAAGAGGGTACAATCGCAATGGGGGACAATCACGACAAAGGAACAACTGGTGGGTCGAGAACCGGGAAAGGGAGAAGGGAGAAAGATTCGAGAAAGTATGGGACTTGTATGCGGAGGAGATGGCAACTAAGGAAATGGCTAGGAGAGAGAAAGAGCGACTGACACGAGAAGAGGAGGAAAGGAAGAAAATACAGGAGGCTGAGGAAGAGAAGGCCAGAGCGAAGAAGGAAAGAAGATAATTCGGAAGTAAATTGGGCAGCATGGTTAAAAGCAACATGAAACAAGTCTGCGAAGAAGTTTTGAACACGAAAGCCTCGACAAGCGAGGTGGCTGTGGCAAGCACTAGTAACGAACTATGGAAACGAGAGTACGAGAAATGGAGGCAGGAAGACGCAGCGGCACGCGAGGAAATCGAGAAAAAGAGAGGAGAAGAGATTGCAAGACTAAAGAGGGAAAATGAGGATCTGAAGAGAATGTGTCTAGGCAGGGCGGAGGGCGAACTCAAGGATCTGAGAAAAGATAACCAAGCGCTAATACACGATATGCTGATCCTGCGTGACGAAGTCAAGAATCTGAAACGTGGTTGCAAACGCAGCGCCAATGCGGTGATTGAGAAGAGCCCACCCAAAGAACCAGCTAGAGGCCAAGTGAAGGCTACGATGGAAGCGACGGTGAAAGGCAACTCAGCAGTCGTGGAGGAAGAACGAACAGCAGCACAATGGGAGAAGTTCGCGGACACTTGCAGGAAGATGCGTGTCAACAAGGAAATGGCCGAACGAGAGTTATCCGCTCTTAAAGAGAGGATCAATCGAATTAAGATATGTATGTCGCCAAGCACAAGAAGGAAGGTGTTTACAAAACGAAGAATGTCGAGAAGTCCGTTGAAAGGAGCGACGGAGACGCAAGGAGGTGACAAGGTGAAGGCTACGTTTGTGAGAAAAGTTGGGGAGGAGCAAGATGCTTTCCTCAAGCGAGTCTCCAATGACCTTGGAAAGTTACTAAAGGCACAAATGAAGATTCTGTGTAATGAAGAGCATGTGACATATAACAGCATCAAGAAGACGACCAATGAACTGGCGTGGATATATACGGCCAGGGTATTTGGGAATACGCTGCCGAGATGGAAAATTGGCGAAGACGACGATGACAATGACGAAAGAGATGAAGACGAGGAGTTTGCCGATGTCGTCGGAGGCTCTGGAGGTGAGTATGTTGTTGAAGACTCGTTGTAGGGTTGCTTACGGGCGTAGGTACTATTTATTATTCCGCTTTATTACTCCGTGACTTGCGTCGATCAAAGGCAGTCTTAGAGAATGTGGTGCTGGATAATCTATTTCGTTGGTACATTATTAGTTTGATTCTCTCTTCTGCTATTCCATGGGCTACTAAGCTTATTCCTCACATCTCCAATCTTCTATGATCTCATCTCTTGTCCTGGCCCTATCGTATACGCTCTCGTCTCTCCTTGGTCCAAACACGTATATATAGGTTGTACTACTCGCTCTATCTCCAGATGTTGGAAGGAACGTATATATAGGGCTAATGCAAAAATAGGGTCTGCCAAGGTTAGGAATCACCGACTTTATAGATGGCTTCGGAGACAAGGGATATAAGGATATGTAGCTATTCCTATATCACACCCTCTTAACGATGACATATTAGAGGTAGAGCAGTATTTCATTAGGACCTTCAATCCTTTTCTTAATAGTACTCCAAGTTACAAAGCGTGTGGGAACTCGAAGAATAGGCCAGGCAAGAAAGAATGTCTGAAGAAGAAGGCGAGCCTAAAAGCTAGGAAGGCTGATCATTCAGAGGGGGTATCATTTGTAAGGTTCAACGCATCCTTTCGTTTGAGGTCGACATTACTCGGCAAGATTCTGAATTCCGCCTTCGAAAGGAATACGTTGAGTTTCGAAATTACCTGCCATAATGGTGATATAGTATGCGATAAGTGGAAGATGGTAAAACGGTTGTATGGCTCAACCATCATGAAGTCCGCGTTCGGTACGAGCCTGTTGAGGAATGCACGTGCTTGGTTTGGTAATGGAAATACTGTGGTAATTGACTGTTTGTCCAAATTATGTTCTCCCTTTGCTGATCTGAAGAAAATCTTGTCCCTCTGCTTTCCACACCAAGTTTACACAAGGATCTCTATTGTCAGAATTTTGACTATATCGTCAGTCTCTATAATGCTATCCGCTGTTTTTATAGGAAAGAAAGTAGGACAACACTAAGAATAGTCCTAGCTAGGGTACTTCGAGTAAAATTTGAGTTCAATATTAAAATCAGACTAGTGATTCGGATACCATTCGATGAGTGTCTCTCAAAAGGTAAGCTTCGGGAATTGGGCATTAGGATTATACGTACGTCATCCATTAGGAATCCGCTAAAAAATATCATTTGTCGACGGTTAAGGATCGTTTGGCCGAAAGACTACCTCCATAACTTCCGATACTATGCAAAATCCTCCAACCTCTCCTGCTCCTGCATTACATCAGTCCTTCGCAGTCAGGTATTTCCTTTTGTCTTACTACCCGATACTTCTTCTCCTCCCTCCTTCTTTTCTCCTTCTTCTTCTGCTTCTCCCTCGTCACTTCACATCGCCTTTCGTTTCTCATCTGTTGATGTACCTTCTCTCTTGTCTAACAATAAAAATATCCCCTACGGGCCTATCCAAATCTGCACTGCCACACAAACTTGCTCAGAAAAACTATAGTTGATACCCTATGCTCTTATTCAAAATGATACAAAATTGTTCCATATTTCTAATTCTGACCTAGAGGACTGTTTGACCAGCAGTGGAGGAACCACGCACACTACCCGAGCAGACATGTCAATTGTAACTGCATGGAAGGCAAAGCTAGAAGGGTTGGTGGTGTGTCTGATTGACCATAATCCAGGTGACATTTACGCCTGTTGTCCTGTAATCTATAGGAAAGGGTTGGAAACACTGTTCATGGCCAACGATGGGTTTATTAATGTACAAAAAAGTGAGTTTGATGTGATTGGAGAACTGAAGTCGAAGTATTTTGCAGCTAAATTTCAGACAGTGACGCAGTGGGACTAAAAATGTAAGCTGGGGAGAGCATATGCAATACCTAAACATAAAGACATTGGTAGATGGCAACCTATATGCCCCTCCTGTTCAGATCCATTGGCACGACTTACTACAATAATATCAAAAACCGTTAATCATCTCTTGTGGTCTTGTCCTGTAGATAGCCATTTCAACCTAAAAAGCCCTAACGACCTTCTGTGCTGTCTCACCTCACTGAACAACTCCTTAGGACCTAATGACAACTTAGTAGTAGCTAGCTTCGACGTTAAAGAAATGTTTTCCAATCTCCCACACTCCTCAATAATTCAGGCGACGCAAGGCCTCTATCCCGGTGGTGGTAAGAGAACCTCCGGAATTGAGGCTTTGCCTGACGGGCTGCTCTATCTATTGGTGGGGAGCATCACCTGCTGGAAACCGGGCCCAGCATCCCTTTGATACATCTTTTCTTTTCTGTGAAGGAAGAATCAGTACCAAACTTTGTCAATGTAGAGAACCTATTCCTGCCAGCATTGGTACGAGAAAGAAGGGTTGCATGATGTACTGTTGAAAAAACAGAGCAAGATGGTCAAACTTGGCAATATTCAGAAAGTGCCGATTGGTGGTTGAGACTCAGGTTTGGAAAATTGATAGAATTGGTTAACTTCGATTTATCGAATATTTTTACGACGTGTATGGGACGTACATTACAGCAGCTCAAGACTGTAAATGCAGTGACCTTAAATGCACATACTACCCCTGCTCATTCTTGGAACAGTGACTGATGTCAAGGGTGGCTATATCTGTCCTCCCTCTTTTGAAACCTCCCTCTAAACCCTTGAATACCAGAGCACTGAGCCCTGTGCTCATACAGACTATACTGAATTGACTCTGAGACATCGCCCCTCCACCCTGTGAACCCTTCAACCCGCAGGGCTTGAACCTTTAAACTCTGAGCCTTCTGTGTATCCAGAGTGCGCTGCCATGGCTTCGAGTATGCATGGTCGTATGTGTGAGTCGATGTAGCTTTTATATGGTCTGTGCCTGCCCTCTGATGGCATTGTTGGCTCTTGTAGACTGGAGTCCGCAGTCATCTTCCTTGTGGTTGCTTCCACTTCCGGTTCTGCCGCCCGTAGCACGTCTTTGTTCACTGCATGCATTTCTGCCTCCTTCCATGAGATTGGGAGCACAGAGGCGCGAGGATCTATGGGACAGGCGCGGGGCAGGGGGGAAAGGGGGGACGAGGGGGAAGGGGGGGAAGAGGGGGGGGGGGGGGGAGGGGGGGATCAGTAAGTGAGAGGGAGGAGGGGGGGGGACGAGGACGAAGTTAGTCTGAAGGTACGGGACCTGGTATTCAGTAAGAGGCTTTCGTTGCCATGTGCTCTCTGAGTTCCTCCATGGCCTCCATAGGATATCCAGTCTTGCATCCAATTCACTGAGCTTCCTATGGGGATCCTGCCATATTTGGATGTGGGAGTCGTGGATGGCCTGTTTGGCCTGAGGTTCGTTCTCATTGCGGTATTCATTTGTTTTGTTTTTCCACACTTCCCAGGTGCTGGATCTGATCACCTCCTCTATTGCGTGTCGGGCTTGTTGCAAGCCAAACTGATGATCTTTCCTTTCAAAGGAACATCTTGAACGCCAGGCCAGCATCAGGATGTGCAGTCCTGTGTACGAGAACATGTTGACTGCAAAAGGAGACCAGTGGGCTAGCATGTGTTGGTTCTTACCGAGCAAAAGGAGGTCCAGATCCCATGGGATGTGGAATGTTATTAATGAGTGAAAAGCTGCGTCCCACCAGCACCACAGCTGGGCAACCATTGGGCATGCTAGGAGGCAGTGTTCGACTGTTGCTCTGGCAGGCGGGGACACTCTCCTGCAGTAAGAACAAATGGGGAACAACTGGCCTTTCTGTTCCAAGTCTGTTCTTGACACCAACCAATCCAGTGTGGGGAGACATCGGTGTATGATTTGCCACTGCAGTGACCGGAGGTTTATCGGCATAATCTTAGCGTATGTGGACCAGGGAAGGTTGTGCAGGATGGCCGTGTCTATAGGTAAGTCCCAGCCCATCTCTCAACTATGATTTGGTTGGTGGGTACTTCTGGGCATGAGGCTCTGTATCCACCTTTTACAGAGTAGTCCCAGACATGCATTGGTTTCTCCCCAAGCCATTCCCACTCTTTCTGGTTGAAGGGCAAGGCCGCAATTGACGTGGAGGGTTCATAGATGAAGAGACCGTCTTTTGGATCCCCCACCACTCGTATGAGCATCAGGTCGGTCCAGATGCGGTCGCAGTCAAGATCATTGTTGCGTGTGAGCTTGGACATTCTTGCCCCCGGACACTGGGGCTTGTGGGCTTCCAGAGTGCAAGTTTCAGGGTTGCGCTTGTGCACTCCGTAGACCACAAGTGGTAGGGGCATGTCAGAATATTTGACTACCCAATCTCCTTGTTGGGTGGTTGACCCTTTCTTTAGGTCCATCTGCCAGGCTAGCGGTATAGCTTCCCATACAATGTGCAGCTTGTCGTCCACCTTTTTTACGTACTCCATCCGTTTTTGGAGCGGGGTTGTGGTTATCAAATCCCCTGTGCGAACGTCCCAGAGGTTTCCTTTTTTTTTTTTTTTTTTTTTTTTCCCAGAACAACCAGAGGTTTCCTATTGTATATATACCTTTTTTAATCCAGGAAAGTCATGGATAGTTCGTTGTCAGCGGAAAGAGATTACCTGCGTCATCCACGATGTGGGGGTTACCAAACAAGGGTTGTCTCCATATATCGTGCCACCTATCGAGAGGTCGTTTTTGTTTTGGTCCCGCTCGTCTCCAGAGTTTATGCATGTTCGGCCACAAGGGGGTCCCTGACAATGTCTTGTTTGATGGCCTGCACAGGTGTGTCCACTTGTGTTTGTTGCGGAGTGGAGGGGATGGTCCAGTGGGCATTTGTCAGCCATTTGAAGGGGTGTATTTGGTTCACAGCTGTTGTCTCCGGTGCCAGGTTTTTTATCTGTATGCAGGCCAGCGGAGCCCAAGGGATGCCATTACCAATGACGAGTCTGATCAATACCTTGAAGATGAGGGCTTCACTCTCCCGTTCCGGGTCGAGTATGCCCAGTCCCCTTTTCGTTCTCAGTTGTGTCAGTATGTCCCATTCACCTGGTTTAGACAGCCTTGGGATTCGGCACTTTTTTTCCCACAAGTAGGTCGAAAGGGCCTTTCTGAGCCGTGCATATTGTTTTTGGTTTAGAGGCCACACAAACAGAACCAGAGTGACGAATCACTCCAGCATCGCTCTTCTGCCTCATCCACTCAGGTGAAGTACAACAGTGAATGATAGAGAATTCTGCGGAGACTGGTTAGGAGGCTCAACCGGGGGGGTGATGGCTGAGGCGAGCTTTCAGTGACTAGAATAGACCTGGTCCAGATCCAAACTTGCCCCTTAGCCCAATCCAAGATTCGTGAGCCAGTTATTCTAAGAATCATCAGGCGCCCTTGAAGAAGGGTGAAGAGGATCTTTCAGTGCTGCTCAGTCAATCCCCTGGGACAAACCAGGGCAATCAATGCTGGCAGTTACTCTTTACACTCTTTCATTGTTGGTCTGTCCTTTCGTATCATAAGGGATGCTGGACCCGATTTCCAGCAGGTGTTGCTC